ATAAGCCACTCTAGTTGAGACCTTGATATGGGCAAAATTTCACTTCAAAACTCGAAACTTTCATCTTATCGGGAAAATGGGGTCCTATAGGAAAATTCTAGTGAAAAGCTGATATCTCAGCCAAATCGCAACTTGGGCCGATATCATCTTAGGCTTTTCCTAGTCTATATATCCCCTACTTATGGACAAAATTTGGGCTCAAAAGCTTTTTAGCACCTCGAAAGGTTCCCTCGTAAGACAAACAAATGACAGAAGAATTTAATAAGACCTAAGATTTTTCTACGAATATTAATTCTATTGATCAGAATCTTTCAAAACTTTTGTAAAGTTTATAGGAGAAGGTCTATGAATTTCAACCATTCTATGATTATGTCTAGTCTAATAAAGGTTCTTTCTATAAATGTAACATATAAACTCAAAGAAAAAAAAAAGAATGATTTCTTTATTAATAACATTGATTGTATTTATTTCTTTGATATAGTTTATTTTCGTCGGTAACACATTATCCCAAAATTCCACGTGTATATTTAAATGAAGTTTATTTATTAACAATATATGTAAATATAGAATGTTTTTGTGGACCACATTTTTGTTCATCACGTCTTACTCGTATTCCATCAAAATTTGGTCCAGGTCCATATCGTCATGTTCTTATTGATATGTTTCATTATCTTTTATCAGCATTATCAACAAATGCACATCGTGCATTACGTCGATTAGATCATCAAATTAATTCAGAAATAATATCAAATATGAAAACTGAATATATTAAAGCAGCTAAAAGATCATCAAAATTAATACGTCCTATATCAATACCAAATGAACCTCGTTCAATATATCATTATCTTCGTCATATATGTATACAATTAGAAGCTTGTCCAAATTTATTTAGTATTATACGTATTGACAATCATTGTCCAGATAAATGTCATATATTAACAAATACTTTTGGTATGTTAAAAAACTATCGTGTTCTGATACTTTTCATTCTATGAAAAAAAATCATTTATCGGAAAGATACGATCGAAATTTTTGAATGAATGATACAGAAAAAATAAAATATTAATTCAAATAATAAACTTAATTATTTGAGTATATTGCCTGAATTGATCAATTGATTTTATCTATGCATGATTTGAGAGTAGATGTAAGTGAAGAGAAGATTGATATCACCTGCATCCTTACCCACCAATCGACATCCATATATCCTCTACGTTCAGACATCATCAACACTATGTCGACTAGTTACCTATCAAACCACAAAAAAGAAACGAATCTTTTTTTAAATAAATAATCACAAAATTTGATTGAAAAATATTGCTGTTTCGATTTTATATAATCTTGTGAAACAGTCGGAATATCTCAGAAGAAAATGAACCTTTCGATAATATCTCTCATTTACTATTCATTTGTTGGGACTTTATTTCTTTTCAATAAAAAAAAAAACAGTATGTCTTTTATGAATCTAAATCCTTTCCTAGTGTCGAACATATTTCGCGAGTACAATTTGTTCTACTATCGTTAAAATTTAAATTAATTTTTGTATTTCAAAAATAGCTTTTTCTACACATTCAAAACATAAACGTTCTCAATTACGTGCTGCACAAAATCGATATCGTAAACAAAAATCTTTATTATGTCATTTAAAAAATACTTCAATAACTTCAAATATTTCAAGTCCTGTTGTTGAAGAATTACCAACAACAGATATTCAAACAACAATAATTAATACAAATGATATATTACCAACAATACCAATTCCATTACCTGGATGTGATAGACAAACACGTGGTTTTCGTTTTCATATTGAACGTAAAACACATACTATTACAAGAACAAATAAAAAACAAAAATTAATTAATACAAATGATACATCAACAATAAATATTAAACAAGAACCTATTGAAATTAATAATATTACATCAGAAGTTGTATCATCTTCATCAACAAATCATTCAATAAAAGGTTTTGATACAAAAAATAATAATAATAATTTTATTGATTTAAAAAAATAAAAAAATAAATTATTTTTAGAATCTAAACGTTCATGTATATCAAAGAAAAGACGTTGTGCATCACCTTCAATTGTATGTCGATCAGCATCACCTGTAACATTAAATATATTATCATCAAATTCAAATCCTTCATCACCATCAAATAAAAATAAAAAAAAACGAACAACTCTTTCAACATCTCAATCATTAAATGATCTTAATAATTGTTCAAATATTCTTAAACCAAATATTGAAAGTCAAAATTCATCATCATCATCATCATCATTTATTCGACCAATTCAACAATATTCAATTCCACCACCAATTGATCCAAGAAATCCAGTTACATGGAATGTTAATGATGTTTGTTGGTATTTAAATGAATCTGGATGTTCATTTGCATTAAAAACAATTAAAGAACAAGTAATTTATTATTTTTTATTATTTATTATTTTTATTTTTTTGTAAAGGAAATTGATGGTGCTGCTCTTCTTCTACTTGATGATTTAAATACAGTTCAAGATTTATTAGAATTTAAATTAGGTCCAGCTGTTAAATTTTGTCATGTTGTTGAACAACTTCGTACACAAGTTATTGATACATTTCATTCATCACCACCATTAAAAACTTCATCACGTTTATCAACAAATTAATTTTTCTTGTTACTTTCTTTTTTTTTTTGTTTTTCTCTTTCTAACAGTGTCAATATCTATCTTCGTATTTCAAATCTATATATATATATATACAACTCTAGTTTTCTTTTTGTGTAAATTTTCAATTGTTCTGTATGTGTGATGCTAAAAGACAAAGAAAAAAAAAAAGGACATCAGATAAATTTCTGTTGTTTTGATTTGTATTAAATCTTACAAATTTTTTTAGATGTCTGCTAAACCTTCTAATGCAACAGGAAAAATGAGTGCACGTGGTGCAGCATTTGAACGTGCAAATATTATGCGTGATCCAGCTACAGGTGAAACATTTATACCTGGTTCACAACGACCTGATGGTACATGGAGAAAAGCAATACGTGTACGTGCAGATTATGTTCCACAAGATGAAGTGCCTGTGTATCAATCTATGGGACAACAAACACAAAATGAAACACAAAAACGTATTGAAAATGGAAATATTATACCTGGTTTAGTATTAACTGAAGAAGAAAAACTTTTACGTGCTAAAAAATTAGAAAAAGAAGAAAAACAATTAAGAAATCAAATGGCTAAATTAACAACACAAACACCAGAAGATAATAAAATGAAAGAAATTAAAAAAATTCAAAAATTATTAAAAGAAATTAATG